ATGAGTAAAGAAAAATAATTACTTCAAATAATATTGACTGCTTCAGTTTTTCTGCTGGTGTACAGTCAGATTCGACAGGAATCTTTCATCTAAATTAGACAGTAAAGTCAAACTTCATACCAATTATACAAATGGAGGAATTATTTTTTAAGAAACTCTTAAAAGGAGTCACTTTAAGAAACATTCTTAACGTACATGGATTTAAAAATATATCAGCCCTCCTTCCCGGTGGTAGTACACACATTTAATCCCAGCACTCAAGAGGCAGAGGCAGGCGGATCTCTGACTTCAAGGCCAGTCTGGTTTACAGAGTAGTTCCAGGAAAGCCACGACTACACAGAGAAAACCTGTCTTGAAAACCAAAAAGTATCAGTCTCATTGCTATGGACTATCTAAATGGACCTGTTATTTTTCGGTGTATATTTGCATGTGTGTTTGGCTAGTTGGTTGGAGGGATTTTTTGTCTTGTTTTGTTTCGTTTTTTTTTAATGTCTACACCCAGTCCTCAAGTATGGCCAGCAAGTTCTTTACCTTTGAGCTAGACACCCAGCCTTTTTTTTTTTTTTTATGTTGACACTTCTGAAACTTGAGACCTTTCTATTTCATCTTTTTCTTGACTAGCTGGGATTGTTGGCTTTTATCGTTATGCCCAGTTTATTTGTTCCTTAATTATAGCACATTATGCAGGAGCTGGTCACCAGTTATAATTACATAGGACATTATAGATGAGGAAAGAAATACTAGTATTTCTGAACTATTCTCCCAAGTTGTAGGTTTCATGCCTGTATTTTACATGTGTCACTCCATTTTATCTCCACAACAACTCTTTTTTAAAATGATTTGTTTATTTTTATTTCGTGTGCATTGGTGTTTTGTCTGCATGTTTGTCTGTGAGAGGGTGTTAGATCTCTTCAAATTTGAGTTGCAGACAGTTGTGAGCTGCCATATGGGTGCTGGGAATTGAACCTTTGACTGTTATAAGTATACAGTGCAGTGCACATTCTCATTAAGTACATTCATATGTTTTTAGCTATCCACTCCTATCTGAATCACCATTCCAGCTTCCAAGTTGGAAGTGTCCTGTTAAGCAATCACACTCCATATTTCTGTGAACTTTAGTCTGGTAGCTAACTGTTCTACCTTTACTTACTAGTTTATCTATAATAGCCTTTGAAACAATCATTAGGTTCAGTTTATTGATGATACTCACACTCAGGAAGATAGTTCATTCAAAAGGATGTACAAATGAGAAAGGCATACAGTCTAAGCACAGTTCTGTTTCCTTGAAGAATCACTGATTGCTTTCATCTTGTGACTCTGTAATGGACCACACCATGTTAGTTATTATAACACTATATAGCACTACTTGCAAACACAGCATTAGTAAATATTTATTATCTCGTGCTTTTCATCAGGGATGTAGAGGTGGCTCAACTGGGTGATCTCTGAGTATGTTTCCTAAGGCTGTGGTCAAAATGCCAGACAAAGGAGTACCAGAGAATATAGCTCAGTGGAAGAACTTGTACTTAGCATGTGGAAAACCCTGGTTTCAGTTCTTGGCACATACTGCTGTTTCTATGATATCCTAAGGGTTACAGAGAGGACATGTCCTTGCAGTATGAGAGAATAGCCAGGATGTAAATATTTGAAGATAAAATAGGGGCCATCTCAGAGATTGGCTATCCCTTACACATTCTAAAACCTTGAGAAGTATAGAAATTGTATAATTTTAGGCTATAGCAAGTAAGCCAGCGCTGGGTATGTAGCTTTGTTATTACTTGTGTTAATTACTAGTGCCAGTAGTTTGAGGATAATAATCATTTTGAAAAAATACCTACATTTGTTATTTTTAGTTTTGCCTTTATATACTTTTCACCATCTCCAGTTGAGTATGTATCAGTCTTGACTGGCAATTCAGAAGACATTGTTGGGGATATAAAGTACTCTAGAGATTTGATAACAGTCAAAGCTCATCCTTGACTTGTGGGGCTAATGTAGTTGACATTCTGTTATTTTCACAGTCCTTCTGTTACAATGGATGATCTGAAGAACCTGTTCACAGAAGCTGGATGCTCAGTGAAGGCTTTTAAGTTCTTTCAGTAAGTCCTTGCTTACAAAAAGTAATTAACATTTTATTTAACATGGATTGCTGTTTGCTTGTTTGTTTTTTAAAGTAGTTAAGCAAAGCCCAAAGGAGGGGAAGGTTTAAATGCAACATTGATTCTAAGTATTATGTATTTTGTTGTTTTTAGGAAAGACCGTAAAATGGCTCTCATTCAGTTAGGATCTGTGGAAGAAGCAATCCAGGCCCTTATTGAGCTTCACAATCATGATCTTGGAGAAAATCACCACCTCAGAGTTTCCTTCTCAAAATCCACCATCTGATCTTTCTGTGAAATTTTCTCCTTATACTGGACCATAATTTCTGTAAAATCTTCAGGCACAGACTGAAGCAGCTCAAGACCAATTCTGCCTCTTTCACAAAAGTAACTCTTTGGGAGTTTGGTTGATATTCAAGTACATTCAAAATAAGAGATATTCCCTTTTTTCCTCTCATTTTCTCCAGCAGAGTATGATCAAAAGTTTGCTTTGCCTTTGTATTGTGGTTTCTATGAAAATAACTTTCAGGAAAAAAAAAATCAGGAAAATATTTTTTAAATAGTTTAATTCCCTAAATTAGATTTCAAAAGGACAGAGTTTCTTTGTGTTTGGGTCCAGATCAGCCTTACATGACATTTCTAAACTCCTTTGTACTTTGAGAAATTTAAACATACAGACTTTTACAATTTCTTGATGTAATTTAAATCACCTACAACCAAGTTTTTTTAACTTTATGATTCAGAAGTTTCCCTGTAGAAAATGACATTCATTCATTTATAAAAATTATACCAGATATTTACATCTATTAATAGTTATTATACATGACCACATGGAGTTATTGAAAACAGGTTTATAAACATTCATGCTTTCTTTGAGATTTCTTTTTTCCCCACTGTATTACACTCCTTTGAATAATGCATGTCATTTCTTTTTAAGACTATTTGGAAAAGCAAAGTGTTGCAATTGTCCCCAGGGAAATAGAAGTGAAATTCAGCCTGGATCTATTACAATATTGGCATAATTAGTCATTTTAGAAAAAAATCATGTTTTAAATTTCAAAATGACATTTGTCTAATAATATAATGTGATCTTGGAAAATTTTAAAAGAAAAATAATCCTACTTTTTTATAATTGTTTTCAGAAAAAAAGAAGTTTACAGTCTTAAGGAAAAATATTCAGGTCTATCATATGGTTTGACAGATTTTTTAAAAGTTATTTTTGGTAAGGTCTTCTTTTAGAAAAAAAATCTCAAGGGTTTTTGTACCACTATAATCTCTAATACTCAGAATTACTGTGTATTTACTTAATTTCTTATTATGTGCCTTATTATGTGCTTAAGATATAATAGATTAGAATTTTATCTAAATATCTAGAAAGATAAATTGTGGGCTTGGTGAGCATTCTGTTATTTCTTTCCCTGTCTTGGATTTTAAGGGTTTGGTTGTTTTTGTTTTGTTTTTCTTTTTTCATTGCAATTTTAAGTGGTTTTCAATAAGTAATAGTTTCTATTAAGATTTTTGGTGCTTTGGGATAGTGGTGGGATAGAGAAGGGTGAGTGGTTTGGGAATACATAACTCAGTGTGCACCTGTAGGCCTCTATATTGTGACTGCTGGTTGCCACCAGCCGTCAGTGAAGTCGGAGCTGTAAAACTGCAGCCTCGGATCTGTATCTGTCTAACCTTTACTGCCCGTTAGAATTTGTCTCAGGATTACTTGATTCTTTCTCAGAACTCAAGTGAGAACTTGATTTTGTTAATGCAACTTCATTACAGATAGCCCACTTATTTGGAGTATTAGAGAGTGGGTTATTTTTTTATATTCTGACCCTCTTACTTTTTTGGTTGAATGTAAAAGTACATATTAATGTTGCTTCAATGATTGTGTCATGTAAAATTATTTCTTTTAATATGAAACTGCTTTTGTTAATTATTTCTTCAATGCTTGATTGGTTTTTAAAATACAGAATTTGTCAGAGGGATCAATTTTGTCCACCCTTTCTCACTTTTAATAATCTCAGAGTGGATCATCTCATCTTTTTAAAAGTATCTCAGTCTTTACTTTCAGCCATTAATTTGAATGTTTTTTTTTTCTTTAAGAAAGGAAGAAAATTTTTATAGAAGCTGAAAGAGATAATTATAGATTGGTTAAAGTCAAATCAGAATTCCCTCAATACAAAGCAACTGTTGGTAGGCTAGGCAGGGAAATGCTAAATCGGGACATTTCAGATGGATCACCCTTCATGTTGGCTGAATAGTTGGGTGTGATGATTTTCCAGTGGGTGTTTTCCCATTTACATTTGAGGTGTATTTTCACACGAACACTGAATAAAGGAGGGAAAAAAAATTAGGACTGTCTCCCCAAATTTGCTTTTTTTTTTTCCTCACACAGATATCACATTAATTTTCAGTAGCATTTTAAATTGGATTGCTTCCTTTATTTTGAGTTGGGAACTGCTGTGTAATTTATTAATTTGTGGCACTCATAACATCCAGCGTAAGTGTAGCAAAGGTTATTAAGAACAGAAGGGAAATCATACTGGTGTTGAATGTAATTCTGAAGTAAGGATGGCCTTTAAATACAAGAAATAACATTGAAATCCTTTTCAGGGATTTGTGTAGATACGTGTGCATGTGTATGTGTGTGTATAAGTAAGTGTATATACATACATATACTCTTTTAATGTTATATATACATATGCACATTACGTACATTTTAATTTATTGACAAAATTAACAATGATTTGGAAACATAGGATATGCTTGTTTAAAAAAGCATGTTTGAAGCCATCAGATTGTGTCTAAAATTAGCTGTAGTGTATGGATGCTGTCCATATTTGAGCTCTTTTCTGTTTGAATTATAGAGGTCTACAATATTTGTGTTGGTATAAATTTAAATATCAAGGTGGTGGAAAAATTTGATCTGTGTATTTTTATGTTGGCACGTGCTTATTCAGTATCTTTTAAGCAGTGGTTTATTTGTGCTGTTGATCTGTGATGATACCTTGCTGAGTTAATTTACTTTATTTTTCACTTTTCAAGGTATCCTAACTTTTACAAAGCATATATATTCAGGACTTAAGAAAATAGCAGTACACATTTAATAATAGCATTGTATATCAAGATGTTTTACTTTGGGATGTGGATGTGTTTTGTTACAGATGAGAATATACAAATCAAGCATTCTCTTAATTGACAGTTTGTTAGAATTTCAGGATTACCTGGTATCCCCATAGAATGTCATGAGATCTTTGGGACTAAATACTAGAAGCAGCTCTTTGTAGCATGTTTGCACTGAATGTTTTAGAGTCACGGTTGCTGTCTTTTTAATTCCTTCTTTGTCTTTTCCTACTGTGGTGATTAAGGGTCCTGTTGCGGTATTGGAATTAGCCCTTTTGATCCAGGCACACAGCTGCAATTGAAGCACTGGAGGAAGCTGTTGGTTGTGACTTTAAAACCCAGCCTGGACCGCACAGACCATGCTCCGTGCTAGTCTTGCTATTATGGAAGACCCTGTGCCCTCCCTTCCCCCAGTTAATCTACTGTCAACTTTAAAGTCTTCATATCATCAGGCAGAGCACTTACTTGAGTATATTATCGTCCAATTCCTCATCTTAGTCCCATTAAATATTTTTGGATAAAAAAATGGCAAACTCAGAAATAATGATCTTTTGTGCCTCAGTGAATCTACTTGTAGACACCAAGCTTATCTCTTAGAAGAAAATCCAGTGTGTACTGCTATTTTTAGAACCAAAAAGCATGACTCTGATCGGAGCATTTTTCTCAGCCTTTCCTTTGTCTTGATCTATTGTCAATGCGAATAAAACTGCCAGACTTAAAATACTCACAATTGTGCTAAAACAAACACTGTTTAGATTGTACATAACTTTGCAGTGTAACTCAGCTGTCTCTTTAAGGATTGTGTTAGGTATAAGACTGTTTGCAGTCCTTTTTCAGAGCAAATTTTAACAGGTACTTGTGAATTGTTTGAAAAATAGAAAATTACAGAAATCTTAATTTGGGGTGGGGACTTAAAGGGAAAAAACAAAACAGGACCAAAGTTTATGTGCCTTCTTCAGTAGTCTTAATTGACTTTTTCTTCCTATTTAAGACTAAGGTAGCATTGGTATTTTGGTTTTCAGGAAATATCTACTATATAGATGAAGGGACTATTGTCCCACAAACTGGTCATACAAGCAAATAGTTATAACTGAGTAAAAAGTCAGTTACACTTTGCCTTCAGCACATCATGCAGAGCATTGTACCAATTCAAGAGCGTAACTGCTCCCAGTCTTGATAGTAGTCACCTTAGCTTTCACAGCTTGTCAGGGACCTCGGTGTTGATAGCAGTCATAACTGAAAGCTGCTTATGGCAAACTTCACTTAACACTGTCAGCAGAGTTTTATTGTTATGTTCTTTGTAGTAGTTGTAAGAACAGGTCTTTTAGGTAGGAGGTTTTGGTTTTGTGTCATTAAGACTATCATACTGTAGTCTTTTTTGTTTCTTGGTTGTCATTTGTTTGTTTGTTTGTTTGTTCCTTACTACTCATTGTTACCCAGATCTTTAGAAACACATCCCATACCTAGTAAGTACTAATTACAAAGATTGCTGACCACACCAAGTTTTACATTGAAATTTCACCTCATTGCTCTGACCAAAGACTGCTTGTTCTGGTTTTGACTCATTCATTGGTGAAGCATTTTCCCTGAGCTCTTTTCTGAAAGATCCTATGCAGAGCGGCCTTGACTTTTCATTTCCTATTGGTGAATAGACTGCTTAGAGAAAATTGGAGTTTACTATGAACAGAGTAGCAGCAAGGATAGATGGTTATTTTCAGTACTGTATTTTGAGTGTGTGGGGGGGAATATAGCACAGCTAGAAGCTTCTAACAGTGTCTTGTGTTTTACATGGTCTGTTCATAAAATTCCCTTTTTCTGTTTGTAAGAATGTTCATCTAACAGAAGAAAATGCTGTAAATATTTGTAACAACTTTTTTTTTTAAACCAGGCCAAAAGAAAAAAAAAAGGTTTTCGGGAACAAGTTAACATACAAAATGGTTTTATATAAAACAGCGATTGTCTTGTATATTTTGATAAGCAGCAGTACCAGATTTCATTTGTAATACAGTTTGTGGTATTGGAAGAAAAGGATTCTGTGATTGTCTAAGTGAATTATGTTATAAATGCAAAGAGGAGAAAATATTAAAAACATATTTTCTAACTGTGTAGTGCATGGTTAATTCAGGCTTCTGTACACTACAATATCGATTCCATTTCCCTTTGGTTTGTATATTTGATAACTGTTCCTTGGAATCTCAGTCTCTTTTCCTAACACATACAGCATTGTAGCATGCCTTTTAATAAATGTCATGGCATCTGTACTCTCTTAAGATTTTTCTGTGTTCTTGTCTGTACTTTGGGTCTCTCTGTCTTACCTGTAATCCCAATGATGTCATATTTTCTTTTTTTCCCCATAGCCATCCATCTCAAGTTGTCATACCGGATAGCAGATACTTTAACAACTTTAAACACTGAAGTTTAAAGAAAAAAAGCCAAAGTCATCTGTTCTTTGGGTATAATTCTCATTTTAAGGAGCAGAGCACATCCCTGTTCTTCAAACACACTGCTTTGTCAGACATCCTCCAGTGCACATACAAATCAGTGTGCTCAAAGACCTCTTCCCTCCCTCCCCCCTCTCCCTGCTGGCTTTGTATACAGGGAGGCATGGAGTATACGACCTTCAGTGAGTTGAAGTCCTTTTGAGTTCAAGAAGGTTAACAGTTACCAGCCGGCTTCACTCCAGACAAACACTGGAGTTCACAGAATAGTCATGTCTGTTTTACTCAAAACTCTCTAGGAAGTGGGGATTTATCCTTAACACATTAGATAATTGTATAACACTGCTCATCCCTGTCAGCTTACCCGTAGGATCTATTATTTACTTAAATATTACTAAATAAGTATTTCAGCCAAAAATGGCAGAAGAAAAAGATAACCCAATAACCAAATGGAGTTTTGATCAGTTTGCTTAATTAAAATGCTTATACACAGCAGAAGGCCTAGGGTTATTACCAGGAACCATGCCAGTTTTTAACATGAGAGGACTAAGAGACCATACTTCAATTTTCAGTTGATTGCAGTTTTCTTCACCTTTACTCCTGCTGCATGTAGGCACTACAATTTTATATTCCCAAGCATTATTAACAGCATGATCATGGAAGTCTACAGTGCTGAGGGCACAGGGTGGGTGGGGCTTATTTTTTTTCTTTAAACCAGCAAGTCCAACTTAAAAAGACACTGGGTATCTTTTAATGACAACAGCATACTGGGAGCATTTTGCTGAAGACTAAAAAAAAATTAAGCTGACTGTATAGTTTGGCAAACCCGGCCCTTTAAAAAGTTCATTCCGGGCTGGGGAGATGGCTCAATGGTTAAGAGCACTGACTGCTCTTCCAGAGGTTCTGAGTTCAAATCCCAGCAACCACATGGTGGCTCACAACCATCCATAATGAGATTCGATGCCCTCTTCTGGTGTGTCTGAAGACAGCTACAGTGTACTCATAAGTAAAATAAATAAATCTTTAAAAAATAAAATAAAAAAAAATAAGTTCATTCCTTGCAAGTTGTAGGGCCTAAAAATTCAAGTTGTTTTTCAACTTCCAGTGGGAATTTGATACCATTTCTCTTGGTGTGCAGTTTTTCTTCTGGTACTGCCTTTCTTGGTGTGTAGATTTTGTGGTCTTTGTGTGCCTTCCTGTGGTCTTCTCTTCCTTTGTGTCTGTCTTAACTTTACAGGGCAAGCAAGCTTGGTGTAGTGACACATGCCTGTAGCCCCAGTCCTGTAGAAGTAGAGGATCACTTGGGTTCCACACGGAGATGCTGTTACAAAACAGCAGACCAGGCATACAGGCCTGCCTATACCATCTCACCTTGCTTTATCTACATAAAGGCCTTGTCTCTAAATATAGTGTGAGATGTTGTGAGTTAAACTTCCACATGGGAGTTGGAGTGAGGGGTACACAGTTCAGCCCACAGCACTATGGGATAGGAATTACTAGGCACCATATACTGCTTATGAAAACAGTTGAGTTACATGCTGGGAAAGTAGACATTAAAGGCATGTGATGTGACTTTTGGGAGAATATAGTATAGTGGCCATAAAGACCATCTGATTCTAAAACATACCTTTGAATTTCTGCCTTTTAAGTTACAAAGCTGAATGGTGTGGTTGCTGTTCTGCCAAAATATATACTGCTGAAGCTGCCATGCAGCTAGTCATGTGGCAGTACATATTTTGTAGTAATAATGTACTTCTGCTGTAGACATAAGCCATTTGAAACCATTGATTATTACTTGGACAGGTATTATTTGAAGAACAAATAATAGAAAAAGAGGACACAAGGGGTGTGTGTCTGTGTGTGAGAGAGAGAGAGAGAGGTTGATTGATTGATGGATTGATTTTGAAACAGGTTTTCTCTAGCCCTGGCTGACCTGGAACTCACTCTAGACCAGGCTGGCCTCAAACTCAGAGATCTGCTTGCCTGCCTATGTCTCCTGAGTGCTGAGATTAAAGGTATGTGCCACCATTGCCCAACCAAAACATGTTTTTTGAAACAAGGTCTCATGCCCAGGCTAGTTTCTAACTCTATATAGTGGTGGGATTAAAGGCACACACCACCACTGCCTGGCTTCTAGGTCTAGTTGTTAATCCTCAGTGTGTTGGTAATTGGATGGTGCTACTGGGTAAGACAGATGGTTAAAAGGACGAAAGCTACCTTGTGTCTGTTTTAGAGGGTTTTTTTCTCAAGACATTCCTACATCATGCCTTTTTTCTATTGTCTTGAAATGAATGGGAATTTGTCTTTTTAAATTTCTCTCTCTCTCTTTTTTTTTTGTTTGTTTTGTTTTTTTCGAGACAGGGTTTCTCTGTATAGTCTTGGCTGTCCTGGAACTCACTCTGTAGACCAGGCTAGCCTCGAACTCTTGAACTCAGAAATCCGCCTGCCTCTGCCTTCCAAGTGATAAAGGTGTGCGCTACCACCGCCCGGCTTTAAATTTCTATCATAGCAATTAAAGTGATAAAATTAATGGTTTCGGCTGGGCAGTGGTGGTGCACGCCTTTAATCCCAGCACTTGGGAGGCAGAGGCAGGTGGATTTCTGAGTTCAAGGTCAGCCTGGTCTACAGAGTGAGTTCCAGGACAGCCAGGACTACACAGAGAAACCTTGTCTCAAAAAAACTACAAAACAAAAAAAAATTTAATGGTTTCATGAAAGTTAACTCCATTTCTGAACCATTGGGTTTCAGCATAGAATTCACAACTAGTCTAAAGAAATAGAAAAAGAATGACTGAAATTCTGTGAAGAGGTGGTAATAGTTCTTTTGGAAGAAATTGTCTTGTTAGATTTAAGTCAGCACCTGTGTCTTTGTTCTTGGCCTAAGATTATGGAATTTTCAGAATTCTTGATCTTGGCAGAATACAAATTTCAAGTTGTAATCTGTTTATAGAGACTGTCCTTAACCAAAAGAAAGCTGATGTTGAGTATCTGAATGTTAGCAAATGTACACTTTAGAATAAAATGGAGATAAAGGGATAATAGGATAAAAAATGGGGCTGTAGAGTGATACAAATGATTACATAGAAGAGTCTCACAGATGAGATGCCAATCTAAAGAAGCTGTACAGAACTTAGAGGATGTGTTTGCATCAGGTTCAGAAATAGGACCTTGGAGTTACCTTGACAAAGGAAGAGATTGAGAGGCATACGAGGAGGGTTTCTGGTGTCTGATTAACAGTTTATATCTCACGTCTGTACTGGTTGCTCAGAAGTGATGCCTTTCTGATAACACATCTTTGTATATGTCGGATTTTTATTTCTGCATCATACTTCAATGAGGTTTTAAGAAATTATTATATCAAGCCAAAGGTGTTGCTGGATCAGAAGAGTACCCTATCCATTGACACTGTCTTAGGAAGAACTCAAAATGCCATGGACTAAGTTTACTGGGAAATTCTTCCTATATGTGTGTATTTCAAGTTTCACTAACAGAAGACCTCATTTCAAGTAAAATGATCTTCTGAATGGTTTTATACCCAGCTAGATTCAGAAGTGTTACATTTCAGTGCATATTAGCTTTGTATTTGCAACTCTAAGCTTGATCTGGTGAGTTGTTCTCAAACCAAATGTAGTTCTAGCTAGAGAAACCAAGCAGACTACCTAATTCTAGCATCCCAAGATTAAGAAGCTTAATTAAACTTGTCACTAGTAATCTTAAACACATAATATGATAAAGCCCCATGTACCCAGTGTACCCAGTATCTAACTGCAGTTACTTAGCTGTGCTGATAATCAAATGTAGGGCCTTATGCATCCTAGGCAAGTATTCTACTGCTGAACTATACCCCCAGCTTTCTCTTATTTATGTTCATTTGGATATGCTGAGGTTTGAACCAATGTCAACATGTTTGGTAGGCAAGTTCTTGACTGCTGAAATACATAACTCAGTCTCTCATCTCTGATCATCAACAATCACTGCTGGCCAGTGTGGTTTCATTTCTCTCCCTTTTTTACCCACCTCCAGGGTCATTGTTAAACCATTCAGTCCATATTAAAGTGTGGTTGTCAATACCACAGCTTTTCTTTCCATTATTTGTGTTTTGTTTGTTGAATTGAGCTCTTGTAAAAAGCTTTCACTCCAGTATCTTCTGAAAATTAGTTTCTTACCTTCTCTGCTTCTCTTCTTCCTTTTTTGTCTGGCAGGAATTCTTGATAGATGACAGTGTATTCTGTCTTGTGACAGCAGTAACTATTGATAATCATTTCCTAGCTCCATTAATCTTTAGGAACTACAAATTAGTAAAACTGCGGTGTTGAGGAATAAACCCATGCACGACCTCGCACGCACCTGATGAATGCTCTACCACTGGATTACATCCCCAGCCCTCAAAGCTCCAATTCTATTGCTTGCTTGCATGTATTAATTGGATTGGTTCTGTATAAGAGGATTGTCTCAGTACCATGTATTTGGTATTCTGAGATACAGTTCTAGTAACAAATTCCTGGAGGGTTTTCCCCTCTCCTTTGTAAATTATTTTGGATTCTTCAAATGACCTTTAAAATAAAAAAAAAAAAAACAACTTGTGTTCCTTTGAAATTTTTCCAATATTTGTGATAGCAAAGGGTTGTATAATGGGCCGTGCGGTGGTGGTGCACTCCTTTAATCCCAGCACTTGGGAGGCAGAGGCAGGCGGATTTCTGAGTTCGAGGCCAGCCTGGTCTACAGAGTGAGTTCCAGGACAGCCAGGACTACACAGAGAAACCCTGTCTCGAAAAAACGAAAAACAAAAACAAAAAAAGAGTTGTATAATGAAACCTTGTTTCTCTCACTCAG